TTATATAAAGGTTCCTCATAACTTCCTGACCTTTGTACTCTATGCCCCTATTTATAAAGCCCAGTATCCCATATGCTTCTTTAACAGCTTTATCTACCTGTCCGGCCACCTTCAAAGATTTACTATATGAACCCCAGGTCTCTCTGTTCCTTCACCCCCTTTAAGTTTGTACCATCAGCTTATATTGCCTCTCCTCATTCTTCCTCCCAAAATGTCTCCCAGCCAGTTCTGTATCCGCTGCCACTGTCCCTTTAACGCGGATTTCTATTTTGCTGACAATCTCGTATGTGGCACTTTATCAAACGCCTTTTGAAAATGCTACAATATAAACTACATCAACTGCACTACCTTCATCCGCCCTCTCCGTTATATCATCCAAAAACTCTATCAGGTTTGTTAGACATGATTTACAAATCCATGTTGGCTGTCCTTCATTAACCCATATTTTTCTAAGTGAAATTTATTTTGTCCCGGATGATAGTCTCAAACAGTTTCCCCACTACTGACATTAGGCTGACTGGCCTGTAGTTCCCGAGTTTATCCTTCTGCCCCTTCATGATCTAGGGGTGCCCAACCCCAACCCGCATGAATTGGAAAATAATCATAACATGAAAGAAGTTTAATTTTCCTATTCCGAACCTGCCGGCTGGCTTGCTGACACACACTCAGCTACAAGCTCTGCTCGTCCTTCTAATGTAGCCCTCATGTTTTCAGGTAATATGAGTGGATTTACCAAAAAACTAATAACATATAATTTCAACAGTGAATCAGAAGAGCCATTCTGCTTCGTTAATTTTAAAGGAAAGTGTGTGTGTTTACAACAACAACAAGATTACATGTGTTTAGCGCCTTTCACGTCGGGAGGACGTCCCAAGGCGCTGGACAGTGACAGCATTTCAGACCCGAGCTGGGGTAGGGGGGGAGAAGGGAGGGGAGGGGAAGGGGGGGTGGGCGATGGCATGGTCGAAGAGGAGGCTCTTGAAGCGGGACTTGAAGGAGGCTACGGAGGGGGCGAGGCGGAGTGACTGGGGGTTGGAATTCCAGGGGTTGGGGTCAGAGTGGCTGAATTCTCTCCCACCAATAGTGAGGCGGGTGGGTCGGGGGACGTGGAGTAGGCCGGAGCCGGCTGAGCGGAGGGAATGGACAGGTTGGTAGGGGCTTAGGAGTTCGCAGAGGTAGGGTGGGGCGAGACCATGGAGGGCTTTGTAAGTGAGGATCAGGAACTTGAACTGGATCCTCTGAAGGATAGGGAACCAATGGAGTCGGGCGAGAATGGGGGAGATGGGGTCACGGAGTTTGGTGTGGGAGAGGACACGGGCTGCAGAGTTCTGGATTATCTGCAGCCTGAGGAGGGAGGGGTTGGGAAGGCCGACAAGCGGGGAGTTTGCATAGTCAGCCTGGAGGTGATGAAGGCATGAACAAGAGTTTTGGCGGCCTGAGGGGTGAGGGAGTGGTGGATTTGTTGTGCCGTGCTAGTGTGGCAGTACCCAAGAAACATAATGTCCAAAGGCACTTTCGAACGAATCACAAGGACTTTGACACAGATTTCCCACACAATTCTGTTGTAAGAAAGAAGAGAGTGAGTGACTTAAAATCCAAACTTGCAATTCAGCAGTGGGTTTTTACTGAGTATGTTCATCAGTCAAAAATTGTACGATAGCGTCTTTTAAAGTTGCTCATGTCCTTGCTAAATGGAACAAACCTTTCGATGACAGAGAGCTGGTGAAGGAAGCGATGCTGTCTGCTGCAGACTCTCTTTTTGAAGGTTTTAGCAATAAGATGGAAATCATGTTGTTGACATATGATTTGCAAATATGACATAACACTGTAATAAGAATAAAGTCTTTTTCACAAAATATATGATTTCAGTTGATGAGTGACCTTCAAACACGTGACTACCTTCCATTACAATTTGATGAGACCACAGACGTGTCAGACACTGCCCAACTAGTGGTATTAGTTAGGATCAAAACACAAAATACTGCAGATGCTGGAATCTGAAACTAAAACAGAGAGAGCTGGGAAAACTCAGCAGGTTAGGCAGCACCTATGGAGAAAGGAAAGTGAGTCAACGTTTCGGGTCCACGACCCTTCTTCAGAACGTTCTGACGAACGTTTGCAGCACAGACTTTTCAAAGCTCTTCCAGAAGACGTTGATGCTGAGTATACAGACCTGATAGTGCATCCCGAAGTTCGGAGGTTGAGTACAGGGAAAGTTCTTGCAAGATTCCTAGATCTCAAGCCAGAGATTCAGGTGTTCTTGGAGTCCAGAAAAGAAAAATACGAACAACTGAATGACCGGTCTTGGTTGCTTGACTTGGCATTTCTCACAGATTTAACTCTGAAACTAAACATGTTAAATCTGGAACTTCAGACGAAAGCCAAACAAATTGCTGAAGTGGTCAGCTTAGTAAGCGCATTCAAAAGTAAACTGAACTTATGGATGTCTCACTTGATGAAGAAGTCTCTTCTACACTTCCCACGTCTGAAGAAAGTAATTGTTGAAACTGCTGATGAAAACGCTTCTGATCCTCAGTTTTTTGTGGGACATCTTGAGAAGCTACAACAAGAATTCAGTCGGACAGTTCAAGAATTTAATACAATTGCACCAATTGTGAAATTGATTGCAAACCCATTCAGTACAGTTGATGCCTCTGAGAGACATTGTTTCAAGCTGACATCAGAAAAGTGGATGTTAGAATAATAAACATTGAAAGTGACATTATTCTACAGTCCCATGCAAAAGATGAAACTTCTGGAAACTTGTTGACAAAAATAAGTAACCTCTTCTAAGAAGTGCAGCATTGAGGATAAATTGATGCTATGGATCAATGTACCTCTGCGAGTCACTGTTGGCCAATATGAAGTATATTAAGTCAAAGATCCAGACTTACAGATTCACATCTAAATGATTGTCTGCGAGCTGCAAGCTCATCATACAATCCAGATTTCAACATGTTGGTGGAAGAAATGCAGTGCCAGGTGTCACATTAATAGTAACTAAACTGACTTTCTGTTTGATGTTAAAGGTTATACACATACGTAGTATATAATATGCATGTAAATAATGCCCCTGTTTTTTAAATTGGGAATTTTATTCCCTTTTGTTCTGTACTACTCCATTTGGTTCATACACATGAATTCATAGAGTGCCCGCTGTGTATTCAAAACTTCTCCCAGGAGCCCTACACCCAAAAAAGGTTGTGCGTTGGGCACCCCTGATCTACATTGTGTAGCTCCTTTAGAATCTTAAAGACAGCAATCATGTCGCCTCTCAATCTTCTCTTTTCCAGCATGAACATGCTCAATTTACTTAGTCCGTCCTCATAGTCCAGACCCTCCATTTTTTGATTACTCTCCTCTGTATCCTCTCGATTTTTCCTTTTTGTACTGTACACAGTCTCTAAGTATGGTCTCACCAATGATTTATACAGTGGCAGGAACACCCCACTATTTTGGTTTGCTGTTGATCCTTTGATATATCCCAGCATCTGGTTTGCTTTACTCTCTGCCACAGAGTATTGTTGCGAGAGCTTCAATTTATTGTCAATCAGGGCCCCCAGTTCCTTTTCATTTTCCAGACATATTATTTTCCTTCTGTTCAAATAATAATCTCTTCCTGGATTTTTTGTCCCCATGGACAGACTTGTCTGGCAGCTATGAGCTGGCGTGGTGTTTGATTCTGTCTGATCCTGTTTAATAACAACAATAAAAATAATCCTTGCATTTGATATAGCACTTTTCACGTCGGGAGGACATCCCAAAGCGCTTCACAGAATATACTGTAAAGTGAATTGACTGTATATTTGTGGGCGAACGCAGCAGCCAATTGCGCACAGCAATGTCCCACAAACAGTCGTGGATTGAAAATGATCAATTTATTCTTGTTTTGGTTTTTTTTGGAGGGATTATTATTAGACTCTGTGTGGAGTAAGGAAACTTGCCCAAGGTTTCACCCTCTGCCTGGAATTGAACTCAGGTCTCTCGCTTGCAAAGCGAGTGCTCTAACCACTGAGCTACAGGACTCCAAGATCAGTGATGAGAATAAGTAAATTCCTACATCCATCACCTCCTGCTTCGATTTTTCCAACACCCTTCCTGCCGGTCTCCTCAGCTCCACCACCCATAACATCCAACTGATTCATAACTCTGTGGCTGTAACAAACTGCACCCACATCACCCCATCCTCGTCAGGCTGCACGAACAGATCAATTTCACGATCCTCACACTAACTTACAAATCAATTCATGCTCTAACAGCTCTCCTCCTCTCCAACCTGCTTCCACTCCACTCCCCACCCCACTGCTCGGATGGCTCCAGCCGCACGTTTGTCCCTCGTTCCCTCTGCTCCCCCATCAGTGGCTGTGCCTTCAGCCAATCTCGCCCGAATATCTGGAACTATCTTCCTCAATCCCTCCACATCCCCACTTTCAAATCCCGCCTAAAGGCCTTCCTTTTTCATCATGCTTATGGTCACCTCTCCCCACGCTTTCCCTCTGCAGATTCTGCCACTGTCAATTGCTGCAGGAGGCTACCTCTTATAAAGGGGCTATACAAATGTTGTTGTACGTTGCTGTTCTACACGTTCCTTGTCCCCTCGGCTTAACCATTTGGGCTGAGCTTTCAGTAAACCCTGAAACTCCTGAAATCTCTGCCTCAATCCCTCAGTCGTGCCCCCTCATTGCCCATCTTCAGATCAAACCTGAAGAACTTCCTTTTTGACCTCCTCCCTATTTCCAGCTCAGGGTTTGACTCCTCGTGAAAGGCAATGTTTTACTGTATATTTGACTTATATTAAGAAGAGGGCTTCCCTATTGGGCCAGCTGACATTAGTTTGTCAGTGAGTCTAAACTGTGCAATGAGATCCCCAGTCCACCCCTCTCCTGTACAGTCACACAGCTTCTAATTTAACTCTGGACAGAAGCTTTATCAACAGAGTAATGGGGTTAGGCTTGAAGATTTGTACAATTTCCAATATTTATTTTCCTTTCAGATATAAAATGGCTTCATTTCCAGACTCCAAATGTTTCAGCAAGGAAGAGCTTGATGAGCTTCAGGCTGCTTTTCAAACATGTGGAGAAGACAAAGTCACACATCTGGTACAGAAAAAGTTACAGGACTTAGAGTCTGTAGAGCTTAACATTGCAGTAACTGGGGTTTCAGGAGCAGCGAAATCCACCTTTATCAACACTATGAGAGGTCTTCGGAGCAATGATGAAGGAGCAGCTCCAACTGGTAACATAGAAACCACACTGGAGGGAACCGGATATTCACATCCCACTGTGAAAGGTGTTTATTTCTGGGATTTGCCTGGAATTGGAACTTCAACATTCAAAGCTGATCAATATGTGAAAAAGATGCAGTTTAAAAGATATGATTTCTTCATCATTATCTCACACACGAGATTCACTGAGAATGATACGTTGCTCGCCAAGGAGATTAAACGTCTGGGCAAGAACTTCTACTCTGTTCGGTCAAATGTTGACAATGATCTAAATGGGCTTGGAGAGGAGGGTATTGATTATAACAAAGAAGCAGAGCTGGAAGGATCAGGAAGGATTGTGTCAGTAACTTGGAAAAGGCAGGGATTCAATCCCCATCTGTTTTTCTGATCTCAAGCTTCCATCTGGATCAGTTTGATTTTCCTGTATTAAAGAAAACTTTTGGAAATGATCTTCCAGATAAAAAGAAAGATGTTTTCCTCCTGTCATTTCCAAACAGATCCGTGGATCCTGTGAAGCAGGAAATGAACCCCTCTCCACTTCCATTATTTAGGTTGGTTTTAGATTTTAAGCAGAAGAAAAATTAAATTGGAGTTTAGGTCTGGCTCCAAAGAAAGTGATGTCCAGTTGGCCTCTGGAATCCAATATTCACTGACTTAATACACTTTCATATCACTTTTAAAAAAGGAATACTTAGTCCAAACTGCTGTGAAAAGGTGTGAAAATTATAAAGTAATTTACAGAGCAGAATGAAGCCAATCAGCCCATCACGTCTGCCCCAGATCTCAAGCATCTGTCCTTTCAATCCCACTGCCTCGCCCTCTCCCCATTCCCCTTCAAGCATTTATCTTTCAAACCCCTAATGGACTCTGCCTCCAACAGCCGACTGGTGACATTCTAGTCACAACAACTCTCTGTGTTAAAACATTTCTCCTAAGCTCTCTTTTCATTCTTCTTGAGACAATCTTATATATATGCCATCCAGTCACTGACTTCCCAACCAGTGGAAATAGCTTCTCCCTATTTACCCTCTCAAACATCTCATAATTTTATACATCTCTATCAGGTCCTTCTCAATCTTCTCTGCTTCAATTGAGAGGATGAGCCACAGTGTTACATCAATGAGCTCTGCAGAAGCTGTTTAGTATTGAAAGAAAATGACTCAGATACCAGGAAGTGTCTCTTTACTCAGTGGGTAATAAACAACTGGAAGAGGTGGTTGCGGTCAGGACCTCTGTCACGACCTCTCAAGATCCACCAAGCATTTATCACATCCAAGCTTGATGACACCTACACTCTGTTTGCCTTCTTCCCCAGCACTTCCCAAAACCAGCTGCAAACTAAATGGTACAATTTTAAAGGGGTCCAGGAACAGACAGACCTGGGGCTTCACATACATACATTTTGAAGGTGGCAGGACAAGCTGACAAGCTGTTAAAAAGTCTTTGGCTTTTTAAATAGAGACATAGAATATGAAAGAAGGAAGTTATGTTCAACCTTTGCAAATCGCTGGTTAGGCCTCAGCTGGAGGGTTCTGTCTGTTTCTGACCACTGTACTTAGGAAGGATGTCAGGGCCTTGGAAAGGGTGCAGAATTATACCAGGGATGTGCTATAATTATGTGCAAAGTCTAGAGAGGCTGTGATTATTTTCCATAGAGCAGAGAAGGTTGAGACGAGATTTAATAGGGCGTTCAAAATTCTGATGGGTTTTGATCGAGCAGATGGGGAGGAAATGTTTCCTCTAGTGGGTGGGTCGGTAACCAGAGGACACAAATTTAAGATAATTGGCAAAAGAACCAGAGGGGAGACAAAGAGAATTTTCTTTTACCCGAAGAGTTGTTATGGTCTGCAATGCACTGCCTGGAAGGATGATAGAAGCAGGTTCAACACTTTCAAAAGGGGAGTTGACAGGTATTTAAAAAGGGAAAACTTTGCAGGGTTATGGTGTGAGCTCTTTCAAAGGAAAGGCACGAGGGGCTAAATGGCCTCCTTCTGTGCTGGATGATTCCATGATTCTAAACTATCCAGCGCTCTGAAACCCGTGTCATTTCCCTAACCAGGCTCCTCATGCCGAGCATCACCCTCCTCGCTCAGCTGCATTGGCTCCACATCCCCCAGCGGATAAAATTCAAAATCCCTGTTCTCACCATGAAATCCCTCCATGGTCTTGCCTCATTCAAGGTCCATCTAGATTTACTACTTTGACCAAACCTTTCCCACTCCATTGCCCTTAGGTCCCCCCAAGCTCAGGTGCAGCCAATACTGCTAAGCTCTTTAGTGTGACCTCACTATGTGAAAGGTGCTATCTGATTATGAATTTGTATTGTATTTTGTTGTCTGTAAACACACTGCCGGTACTCTCTGTAATTTAAATATGAGGCCAAATATCAATATTAGAGGTAGAATGGTTAGATGTCAGATCCCAATCCCGACCCTCAGCTCGGGTCCAAATTCCTGACTCTCCAGCACCTTGGGACGTCCTCCCAAAGTGAAAGGCGCTATACAATTGTAATTTGTATTGTATTATATCAGGAAAATATTTCTTCACATAGAGGGTTGTGATAATGTGGAATGCATTGGCCCAAAGGCCATAGAGATGGAGCCAATTGGGATGTTTAAAAGGGAGACAGAGAGAAAGATACACTGTGTTATGAAACTTTGTACTTACTATTTAATTATTAATGAAATAGTGTGTGCACAGTTTGGATGTTAAACAAGTCTTTCTTGATTGTAGTTCCAGTCAATGATTGTGCAAAGGACAACAACCCACAATTGCAACATACAATAATTGTAGCAACGAGGTTTCAGAGAATAAGTAGTGATCAGTTACCTTCTCTTCAGGAAAGAACATCATAGACAATTTGGGGAAGAGCAGGAGAGTAGGATTTGAGAAGACAGCTACAAAGCATCAGCACAGACACAATGGGCTCAATGACATCCTTCTGTGCTGCAAACATTATAATATAGCTCCTTGGGGGAGAGGTAAGCGAGGTCTCCTTGGAGTTCCAAGGTGACAAGCCTGACCGTATCTGGTAGTCTTTTGTCCGGTTCCTGAGCCAGGCAGGTCCGCAGTATTCCAGGGCACAACCCACTTGGCTCATCAGCAGGACCTGGAAGGGCAGAGCCTTCCATTGTCCACTGGGGCAGGAAGTCATTCCACTCAGCTCTTGTTCATCGTACAAACCAAACCCACAGGGGTAGGGTGTTCCTCGCTGGACAAGCAGCGGGAAAGCTTGCCAGACAGCAATACCAATACCAAGTTATGCAGTTTTATTTGGTTAGACTCCACCAGTTACCCCAACGCACACTCTGGGATCCACAAGCCATGGCTTTTGCTCACCTGTGGCTATGGAATTATGTAAACAGGATGTGTCCCTCCAGGGAGAGAGTGCACATTCCATTCCAACAATCTAACTCTGGGATTTCCATGTGTTGGTGGGATGTGTGGAATTCTCAGCTTGGATACTGTTAAGTTTGGTGATGGGTTTCCTCATGTGTCAGACGGAGTCCTGTAGCTCAGTGGTTAGACCACTCGCTTTGCAAGCGAGAGACCTGAGTTGAATTCCAGGCAGAGGGCGAAGCCTTGGGCAAGTTTTCTTACTCCACACACCTAATAATAATCCCTCCAAAACCAAAAATAATAATAAATTGGTCATTTTCAATCTACGACTGTTTGTGGGACATTGCTGTGCGCAATTGGCTGCCGCGTTCGCCCACAAATGTATAGTCAATTCACTTTACAGTGTGTTCTGTGAAGCGCTTTGGGACGTTCTCCCGACATGAAAAGCGCTATATCAAATGCAAAGATGATTATTATTATTATAGATACCTGACTAACCAAAAAAATAGTGTCCCAGAGATACAGAGCCACAGTCTGAGGCCGGCACTGAAGGGAATCCCGCTCTATTACAGGACGCTGGAGACTGTCTGTGGTAAATAAAGATCTGCACATACACAGATGTTGAGTCTCTGTATTACATTTCTCGATGAAGCCAAGATGTTCTCTCAAACGAGGATCTCCACTTGCCGTGGTGCCCAGGGCACAGAGGCTGGTTCTCTCACCACTTCCATAGCTGGACACATCAGTACAGAGCAGTGATGGGATCTGTTATCCTGGATCTGAGGACCTAATTTCACTCTGGACAGAAGCTTTATCAATGGGGGCAATGGGTTTAGGCTTCAAGTTGTGTATAATGTACAATATTTCTTTCCTTTCAGAGATAAAATGGCTTCACTTACTCACTCCAAATCCTTCAACCAGGAAGAACTAAAGCAGCTTCAGGCTGCTTTTCAAACAGGAGGAGTTGAAGGTGTCACACCCCTGATCCAGAAGAAGTTACAGGACTTGGAGTCTGTAGAGCTTAACATTGCAGTCACAGGGGCATCAGGAGCAGGGAAATCCACCATTGTTAACGCCCTGAGAGGTCTTCAGAGAAATGATGATGGAGCAGCTCCAACTGGTAACGTCGAAACCACACTGGAGGAAACCAGATATTTACATCCCGATCTGAAAGGTGTTTATTTCTGGGATTTGCCTGGAATTGGAACTTCAACGTTCAAAGCCAAACAATATCTGAAGAAGATGAAATTTAAAAGATATGATTTCTTCATCATTATCTCACACACGAGATTCACTGAGAATGATACGTTGCTCGCCAAGGAGATTAAACGACTGGGCAAGAACTTCTACTTTGTTCGATCAAAAGTTGACAATGATCTAAATGGGCTTGGAGAGGAGGGTATTGATTATAACAAAGAAGCAGAGCTGGAAAAGATCAGGAAGGATTGTGTCAGTAACTTGGAAAAGGCAGGGATTCAATTCCCATCTGTTTTTCTCATCTCAAGCCTCAAACTGGATCAGTTTGATTTTCTTATATTAAGGGAAACTCTTGCAAATGATCTCCCAGATATAAAGAAAGATGTTTTCATCCTGTCATTCCCAAACACAACTGTGGAAATTGTGGAGCAGAAAAGGGAGATTTTAAAGAAAAGAGTCTGGATGATGACTATAGCTTCCGCTTCTGTCAGAGCTGTGCCAGTTCCAGGGTTGTCCTTTGATTGTGATATCGCTTTGTTAGTTACAGCAATAATATATTTCCTTCACTGCTTGTGTCTGGATGATGCCTCTCTTGAAAGATTGGCCAGGAGAGTTGGTAAACCTGTAGAGGATCTGAAAGCTGTAATAAAAACCCCCCTCGTGGGTGAGATAAACATTGATGTAGTTACTAGGTCAATGCTCGGAACTGGTGCCATTGCCATCTCCGCACTAGAGCTGGCCCTCGATTTTGTACCAGTTGTCGGTTCTCTCTTTGGAGCAGGATTTATTATGACCTACAAGCTGCTGAATGCTGCACTTGATGATCTTGTGAAGAATGCAAAAAGTGTGGTGAAGGTCGCATTTGATACTAATTAGGCTCCTCGTCTCCACCACCAACCACCTGCTCTGCCCACCCACACGTGCTCCCTCCATCCTCACCTCCATCTCCAAATGTGAGCAGGTGACTGATTTCCTCAGGTCTGTACAGATGTTCACTTCATATCAGAGACAGTGTGGAATCTCAGTGTCTTGTTAGACCCCCAACTGTTTTTCAAACGTTACATCTGGGCGCTCATTCTCTCAGCTTTCCCTCACCTGCACATTCCCCTCCTCCACCTCTCCTGCTCACCCCACTCTCCAGCGCCTCCCTACACAACTGCAGATCATCCAGATTTCAACAGCCCAGGTCTTCTCCTGGACCAGACTCCTCTAGCGTATCACATTCCTCCTCACTCTACATCAGTGATTCTCCACAATCCATCAGATCTGTGTCAGGTCTCTCTCTGCCCACTGTCGTTGGCTGAGCTCTCATCTACTCTGTCTGCATTCTCTGCAACTCAAATCCCAAGTCTCTCCACCTCAGAGGCCTCCACTTTTGCATCTTGCAGTAAGACCTACCTTATCAACCGAACTTTCCTTCTTCTCTCCACCAAGCTCTTCCCCACACAGGCCCAAGTTGTCTAGTCAGAAGCACTTCCAGACATCTGCCCAATATAAACGGTGAAAATTAAATATAAATTTGTTTGTAATTAAAAATGAGATTTTCCATGGTTTCATGCTGTTTCTTATGAAGGATTCCTGTAGCTCAATGGTTAGAGCATTCGCCTCGCAAGCGAGAGAGCTGGGTTTCATTCCCAGTAGGGCAAAACCTTGGGCAAGTTTCGCAAAGGGTGGAGCAGAGGATTCGGGGGACAAGGAGGAGGCCAGACCCAGAGGAACAAAGGTGTTAGAAAAGGTTGATTTTAATATAGTTTGTAAGAAGAGCAATAGAAGAATTAATAGTCAATTTATTATGTGTGTATATCAATACCATATATGCATGGCAGTAGGAAACGGGAGAAAGAAACAGTTTTAATAACATTTTAGGAATTGGCAGAATAAGCCCTCCTGGTTCTCAAAGGCCAACAATCAGTCAGTTGTGATGGTGAGAGAAGGCATAGAACAGGATGCAAGAAGGGCCCAAGAAATCTGCATTCCATGAGGGCACCTAAATAAAGCTGCTCAGTATTCTGTGAACACAGACAGAGACAGGCTCTGGCCTTGGAAGGGAGAAGCAAGATGTCCTGTGTTGAAGAATAGTGAGCAAGCTGCTTCATCTCAAAGAGTCTGCGTATCTAGAAGATATGGGTACAAGGATGTGCAAGGGTCGAGTATATTGGGTATGTGCTAAGATGCTTGATTGGAGCAGAAGGGGGGAAGATCCCTCGGGGAAAAAGTATAACTATCCTGACTTTAGGCAAGTAAGGCAGCAGATCCAGCCGGACAAAGAGGGCAGCCGAACCAACGGCGAGAAGCTGTGCTGAAACCATCGCAACCGACTGACTGACTGACTGCTCCAAAACTCGTAGTGCAAGTTCTGTTACTTGTAGTGGCAGTATTATTTTACTAGTTTTGTATGTGTTACTTTGATTAATAAATCTCTATTATACCTTAATTGGATTGTCAGGTCATTATTTGAACCTCGGGATCGGAAATCCCAACTAAGGCAAAGAGCACTGTTGTGAGGAGAGAGGAGGTCAGAGAGGGGGGTGCAGAGGAATGGAGGGATTTGAAGACGAGGGTGAATTTTGACCCCATCTCCAGCCCATCAATCTCTCCCTATCGTCTGGCATGGTTCCCATCTCCTTAAAAACAGCTATGATCACCCCCATCCTGAAAAAACCTTCCCTGGACCCATCCCCGCATTCTAAACACTGGCCCATCTCCAACCTCCCTTTTCTTTCCAAGGTCCTTGAACAAGTCGTTGCTTCCCAACTTCACTCCTTCCTCTCCTATCCCTCCCTTAATGAGTGCCTCAAATCGGATCAATTTTGTTGTTGTTGTTATCACATCGTTATCATGTCAAAGCACTTCACAGAGTATACTTCAGCCAGCTCCTAATATTTACTTTTAATACACAGTAACATCAGTTTGTGAAGCAGCTTTGGTTGGTATTTTATTTGAAAATCTACTCACTATGTGCTACAGCCATTTTAATGTGTGATGTCACCTCTAGTTTAAGAGATAATAATAATCCTTCCTTACAATAGGTCTATCACCTTTCACTTGTCAGTTACACGGTCAGCTGCCTGGTACACACTGACCCTAACAACAACAACAACAAGTTATACTTGTATCGCGCCCTTCATGTGGGAAAGACGTCCCGGGTCACTGGAAAGACAGCGTCTCCTCCAGAGCTCAGCTTCTCACATCATGTCCAGCAGCAACAACGTCCAGTTACTGTAACTGAGACAGACACTAACACACATACACACAGGGGCTTCCTCACAGAAAGGGGAAACCTCAGCCTTGAGGGAGTGGAGGTGGTTGGTGTAACAGGAGGACTTCCGTGAGTAGGAGGCAGAGTGATGTGTTATATTATGCTTTAAGAGCAGGGACAGATTCTTTAAATTTAAGAGGTAATAATTCCAATGTATCAGAGATAGCTGGAGAGTTAGAGAGTGAGTTTGGATTTAACTTTTAAATTCCTTTATTTCAATTTATTTATGAAACTTACTGCTCTGCCCTCACCTCCACTAAATCATCCTTCCACTCCAAGACAATCTTGGAGGCCAAGGACAACTTCAGGCTCCTCTTCCTCATCTGCACCCTCCATCCACACTCTCACACCTCACCCATCCTCTCCTCCGATGCTGGAGGAGATGCTGGACTTGAAGTGCCACTCAACCGCCACTCCCTCCCTGTCTCCCCCTCACATTCCAGCCCTACCCATTTGTCCCTCCATACCTTCTCATCTGTTTCCCCCTCTTCTCTCACCACCATTATAACCCACATGAAACCCATCAACTGCTCCCTTGACACCGTGCCTACCCTTCCCTTTAACTTCCAACTCCACCTGCTTGCCCCTCTACTCACAGACATCAGAAGCATCTCCCTGGCACCATTCCCACCCCTGTAAAAACAGCCGTCATCACTCCTGTCCTTAAAAATCCCTCCCTGAACCCATCCCTGCTCTCAAACTACCGTCCCATCTCAAACCTTCCTTTCCTTTCCAAGGTCCTGGAATGCTTCCTAGTTTTGCTCCTTCCGCTCCCACCATTTGCTTCACAAACCTTCACAAATCAGGTTTCCATGCCGCCCACAACTTTGGTCAAAGTGCAAAATGACATTTTGTCCAGGGCTCCCTCTGCCTCCTCATCCTCCTTGATCTCTCTGCTGCCATTGATACCATTGACCACTCCTCCTCCACCATCTCTCCTCTCACCTCATTCTTTGTGATCTGTCCTTGAGTTGTTCAGATCCTACCTCTCACATCATCTCTGCTTCACCTCAACAAATGGCTTCTCCTCTAGCCCCACACCATCTTGTGCAGAGTTCCTCAGGGCTGTGTCATAGAATCATAGAATTATACAGCACAGAAGGAGGCCATTCGGCCCATCAGATCTGTCCCAGCTCTTTGAAAAGATCTATCCAAATAAATCCCACTCCCCCGCTCTCTCCCCATCGCTCTGCAAACTTGTCCTTTCCAAATAATTATCTACTTCTCTCTTAAAAGTTATTATTGAATCGGCTTCCACCAGCCTTTCAGGCAATGCATTCCAGATCCCAACAACTTGCTGTGTGGAAACATTTCTCCTAATTTCTCCTTTGCTTCTTTTAACAACTATTTTAAATCAGTCCTCGGGTTACCAACCCACCCACCACTGGAAACAGTTTCTCCGTGTTCACCCTATCGAATCTCCTCATAATTTGGAAAACTCCTATTAAGGCTCCTCTTACCCTTCTCTGCTCCAAGAAGGATGATCCAAGCTACTTTAGGCTCTCCTGATAACTGATGTCCCTCATTCCTGGTACTATCGTTGACATGGAATTAACTTCCACATGTATGCACATGACACCCAACTCAACCTCTCTGCCTCCACCCTCGCCTCCAGGACCACTGCTGTCCTGACAGAATCTCTGACAGATATCAAGGCCCCTACCTCCTGATTAGCACCCATCAGCGAAATCTTCATTCCCCCCTTGTTTCACATCTAGGCTCGCCTATGTCAATTCCCTCCTTGTTGGGCTTTCCAACCCTTCCCTACACAAGCTGCAGATAATTCAGAACTCTGCAGGTCATGTCCTCTCCTGCACCAGGCTCCGTGACCCCATCACCTCCACCTTCATCCAGCTCCACCGGCTGCCCATCCCCCAGAGGATAGAGTTCAAACTCTTCGTCCTCAAGGCCCTCTCTCCATGGCCTTGCTCCTCCTTATCTCTGTGACCTGCTGATCCCATATCAACCTGTCCGCTCTCTCCGCTCAGCAGGCTCTGGCCTGCTCCACATCCCCCGCCCAGCCAACCCCACCAGCGGCCGCTGAGCCTTCAGCCTTTCTGCCCCCCATCCTATGGAACTCCATCCCATATTCCCTTTGACTTGCTCCCTCCCTTGTCTCCTTCAGGATGCATCTCAAAACCCTCCTCTTCAACCACCCTCCTTCCCTTCCTGCCCACAACCCTTCCTGATATGGAACCCCCGCTCAGTCAATCCCTGACTGTCCAACATCTTGTGGAGTCCTGTATCTCAGTGGTTAGAGCACTCGCCTTGAAAGCGACACACCTGGGTCCAATTCCAGTCAGGGCGAAACCTTGGGCAAGTTTCCTTACTCCACACGCCTGATAATAATCCCTGCAAAAACAATAATAAATTGGATTTCAATCCATGACTGTTTGTGGGACATTGCTGTGTGCAATTGGCTGCCGCATTTCTCCCACATATATACAGTCAATTCACTTTACAGCATATTCTGTGAAGCGCTTTGAGTCGTCTGGAAGACGTGAGAGGCGCTATATCAAATGCAAGGATTATTATTGTTATTATCTTAGGACATCCTCCTGATGTGAAAGGTGCTATACAATGTAATATTGCATTGCAAGACAAGACTTAACACATAAGAAATGTTACCCCTGTAATTCGGGAGAAAGAAAACAATATTGTAATATTTTGGTGTTTTGGAGACCGACTGAAGGAAGATTGAAAGAAACTTGT